CCCGGGCTCCCTGCCTCTGTCGCCGCTCGAGTGATTGGCGGCGATGCCCGCCGGGGCCGGCGACATCTGGCTCCTGGCGGGCGGTGGAGACGGAGAGCTGAGTGGCGCGGGTGCACAGCAGGCGGTGGCCCCCGCGTCTGGGGCAGGCTTGGGGAGGTGCCCGCGGCGCGCTGGGGCAGGGATGAAACCGGGGCACTCGAGAGCTTCCCTGTTCCGTGCATCTCCCCTCGTGCCCCCCTGGCAGACGGGTGCCCCCGCAGAGCCTTGCTCGCTGCACGCTGCTGTTTCAGCGGCCGTCCCCGTGCTGGGAGACCGTCCCGTTGGCACTCCTGTCCCTGCGCAGACCGAGAGGAGCCTGAGCGGGGAGAAAGGGGGAGTCGGCTGTTAAGTTAGCGAGCACCAGACTCCTGTGCCCCTGTAATGCAGCCTGGTGTCTGTGCTGCGAGATCCCCCCGTGAATGCACAGACCCAGGACAAACCCCCTTGTCTGGAGCTGAAGTTTCCAGGCTTGGAAAGCCCTGGGGGGATCCAGACCCTCGTGCGTACAGATGCTGCATTTTCTGTCCAGGAGTTTGAAGCTCCTGGTGGAGAACGTGCCAAAGATAGCAGCAGAGACCTGCAAACTCTTCCCTCACCGGCAGCTTTTCGGATCGTATTTTTCTCTGCCTGCCTCGCTGTGGGGTCTAATGGCTGGGCTCCAGCATTGATTCTTGTGTTAGGTTTTATTGCTCCCCATAATTATTTAAGTTTGGGCAATAATTGCCAAATTGCTTGTTATCCTCCCGGTCTGGAGGAGAGATTCCTAGCCCAGCGTTTAATCCTGAACTTCAACATTAAACTACTGAGCAAGCTCCGAAGCCAGTTTCATGGGGTGCTTTGGATCGTGACTTTCTGCTGCAGTCTCGGGCGGGTTTGCACCGTGAGAGCTGCATGCCAACCTGTCTTTAGACAGAGGCTTTATAGCTCTTTGTACCTAAGTGCTTCAGCCACCTGCTGTGATTTAGTGGGTCAGGATTTGACCCCTGGAGCGTGAGAATATGGTGTGTTTGCATTTCTCCTTGTCTTTGTAAAATGGACCAGTCTTCCCTATGGATCTGATTGCTGCAAGTTTGGAGAGATGCCCACAAGTCTGGGCAGGAAGCTAACCCATAGCTGGTTCTTTGGACTTTATAGCAGCACCTCAGATCTCAGCAGATAGAAGCAGGCGCTGGAGCAGTCGGCAGAGGTGCGAGCTTGTGTGATCAAGGTGGAAGTGAAAATGGGTGAGATTTCAAGGGGCATGAGCGGGCTCTGCAGCCTCCTTTCACAGCCCTGTGGCAGGTCACCTCTGGGGCACTGCCCAGTGGGTGCATTTCCACCTGCTGTTTCCACCTGTTAGTTTGCTTGCTCAGGATGAGCTACCAGGACCACTGCTTCCTAACTTGGGGGCTGAGCTGGGTGGGTGCTTCCCTGTGGCTGAGAACAGTTACGGGACTTTGAAATTCACTTCCCACTCTCTTGTCTTCCATGCAGTTATTTTGCTGGACTCCAAGGAGTCCCAGGCGGAGCTGGGCTGGACCTCACACCCATCGAACGGGGTAAGTGGAAGCTGTCCTGTCACTGGTAGAGCTCCTGGCAGCCAGCGTGGAGGCGTCCGGTCAAGAATGGCAGTGAATGTGTCTGCCGGCACTTGTGACCCGCATAGGCTGAGAAGCCCGATGAATTCAGAGTGGCAGTTTTGGGCCCTCTGTGTTTTGGGGAATGGTCTCATGGCTCCAGTGATCCAGTCCCTGCACTGTGCACTGCTGCTGGCAGTGGCGCTGCTGCAGGGAGGTGATGGCTGAGCTCTCGTGCTGTGCAGCCTCTGTGGGGAGGGTGTGGAAAGCTTTGGCCCTAGGGAGTGGCTTCCAACCTGGCCACCGCGGGTTTAGAGTGGTATTGGCCTCTGGTCACAAAATAACCCTGCCAGGGCAGGTGGGCAAAGTCCTGCTCCGCCCCAAGTGCCAGCAGTGGGCTGGAAAGAAGGGGCAGGTTTTTCTCTCCGACCAGTGGCTTGACTGTCTGACACGCAGCGGAGCTGGATTGAGTAGTGCTTTCGTTGGCCCTGGGCGCCCAGGGGAGTGGAGCGGGGCAAGTGGCTGCATCGATTGTGTCACAGCAAGGCAGCAAACTTGGAGCAGTTTGCCCAAACGAGTTTTACAGCCTTGTAATAAGCAAACGAGCGCCAGTCAATTAAAGCTTTAATGTGTGGCTGGCTTCCAGGCCTGTCTCTTTCAGGTTTTCACTCGGCTCCCTACTGAGCAGAGGACAAAACAGAGCAGCTTGCAGGGAGCTGGGATACACAAGTGTCTGCGATGCCTGCGCCTCACCCTTGGGCTGTCTGTAGCTGTGCCTAGAGGCAGTTTCCTGCCCCCGCCCTCCCCTTTGGGGGAGAAGTTGCATGTTGAGACGTAGGGGTTGTGAGGAAACTCTGTTGCTGGGTTTGCTTGCTGCTGCTGCCTGGAGATGGGTTTGCGCCGAATGGCCCTGGAGTCGGCCCTCATGGGAGATGGCAAGCTGCTCCTGGTTTCATCAGCCAGCACCCTTGCCCGTGGCTCCCAGGATGGGCCTCTTTCCTTGTAATTGGATGAGTTTGCTGCATGAGAGCTTTGGCTCCCTGCCCCCCCCGCCCCGCTTCCCTGCATGAGCTGAGTTTGCATAGCACTGTCTGAGAAGGAAAACCCAGAGCACAGGCCTGACTTTGAGGAGACAGACCTTGCCAGGAGCTGAGGTCCAAGCCCTGCAGAGGTCACACTTGAAAAGATGTGGGGGGCCTTGTCTTCATTCATGATCACTGCAGAGAGGTGTGTTATATGGCATTGTGTATCAGCTGGTGCAGGAGTTGTGATGGGTGGTGTGTGCATGCCAGGAGCTGTGTGTCTGGGCTTGGAGGGGGGTGTTGAGTAGCTGTTACTGAGGTGTAACTGTTCCTTGCTCCTTCCACAGTGGGAGGAGATCAGCGGCGTGGATGAAAACTACAAGCCGATCCGCACCTACCAGGTCTGCAATGTCATGGAGGCAAACCAGAACAATTGGCTGCAGACGGGCTGGATCGCACGCCGTGATGGGCAGCGGATCTTCATTGAGCTGAAGTTCACCCTGCGGGACTGCAACAGCATCCCTGGCGTGGCAGGGACCTGCAAGGAGACCTTCAACCTGTACTACGCGGAGGCGGACACCGACCTGGGCCACAGCCTGCGTGAGAGCAAGCACACCAAGATCGACACCATCGCTGCCGATGAGAGCTTCACGCAGGGTGACCTGGGCGAGCGCAAGATGAAGCTGAACACGGAGCTGCGGGAGATCGGGCACCTCACCAAGCGTGGCTTCCACCTGGGCTTCCAGGACGTGGGCGCCTGTGTGGCCCTGGTGTCTGTGAAGGTCTATTACAAAAAGTGCCTCTCCACGGTGCAGAACCTGGCTGTGTTCCCCGACACCGTGGCCGAGGCTGCATTCGCCACCCTGGTCGAAGTGAAGGGCGCCTGTGTCAACCATTCTGAAGTGGACCTGGATAACCCTCCCCGGATGCATTGCAGCGCAGAGGGGGAGTGGTTGGTGCCCATTGGGAAGTGTACGTGCAGTGCCGGCTTCGAAGAGAAGGACGGCGGGTGTGAAGGTAAAGTGTCCGTTCCTGACTCATTCCTGCCTCCCTGCTATTTTGTTTTACTGCGTCCATCACCCTGGTGCCCAATGCAGGGAGGGGAAGGGCAGTTTGTCACTTTCTTCATGGCTTTGTAACCACTTACCAGCTTGCCAATAGGGTGCCCAGCCTTTGCCCTGGTGATGGCCCTGTGCTGTCACATCTGGCTGTGCTGTGGGCTCAAAACAGCGGCCAATACCGCTGGCAGGTGCGTTTACACCATAACGCTCTGCAGTCATTTTAATATCCCCGTTGTCCTGCTTTGGAGACAACTTAATAATTCAGTGACTTCACAACTTGCAAGGTTACATTCAATGGCAGCTATAAAAGTAGATGTAGCTCCTCCTGAACAGGTGTCACTGTAATGAATTTGGTGCCACAATCACTTTGGTACTTCTGACATGAGGGTGCGAGCAAAGCAATGCACAGGACTTGGAGGGGGGATGAGTGATTATCTGAGTTTGGAGTAAAGGAGGGGAACTGTCTAATTTAACTTATGTTCTGTTGGGTCTTAGTCAGGGCCCAGCGTGGTGTGAAATGCCACTGTCTGTGGAGGTTGAATGTTAGGTAACCCTGTGCCAGTTGCTGCAGCTGGGCTTTCCTGCCCATATCAGGCCATCTGCGCATGCCCTTGTGGCTCTGTCCCATTGCTGCCATGGGGCAAATTACTCCCCTGTGGCCTAAACCCACCTGTTGTGTGTGACAACTCTGCCTTTCCCCACGCGCTTCGGAGTAACAGGGCTCTGCATCACCGATGTTCCTAACACGGGTGTGTGGGACAGGGAAGGGGCATTTTCTGGAGGGGAGAGGTTCGCACGACCAAAAACATCTCTTAATAGTTGTGTGGATACAGGCTAGCACCCAGCTACTTTACCTGGGAACCTGAGTGGTGTTGGGGAGAGGAGCATGGGGAAGTGGGGGGCACAGGTCTATTTGGCTAACTACAGGGCAGAAAGCAGCTTTCTGTCCCTAGGCTGGCAGGGCCCAGGAGACTAGGAGGGACTGATCTTGTGCTTGGTGGGAGCCGTGTGAGTCACGCACTTCGTTTCTTAGAAATTTTCTGTTTTGGAACAATACTGGAAATCACAGACACCTTCTGAGCATCCTACGAGTCACTGCCCAGTGCAGCAACTGTCAGAGGGTCGCGGGGCTGGAACCCAGCTGGGTTCTGCCTGGGCAGGCCTGTGGGGCCACAGAAAACCTCAGGGGGCCCCACTCCTCCTGTGCAGTAAAACAATGGGCTGTGCCCAGGGATCAGCTCTGTCCCACGACGACGACCTGGTAAGCACTGAGCTTCAGGCGCAGGGGGGCAGGCGCTGGTTATGCTCCTCCTCTGGAAGGCAGGCCAGCCTTTTAATGGGACTCTTGGTAATAGTTACTTAATGCCCTCTTTAAGGAGACCACATTAAAGCAATTGGAGTGAAATCTGGGTATTGTGCATTGCTCCGGTGCATGTGTGGCAGCCCGCCATGCCTCCCCATCTGTTTGGAGCAGGGAATTGACATAGTGAGTCCCAAAAGGCCCCAGCTGATGTTTCAGGTTTCTCTGTGTTGAGTTTAAATAATTCATATTCTCTTAGGAAAAATATTTGAAGTAATTTAATGGACATAATTAAGCTCTTTTCCCCTCTCGCAGAAAGCAGGTCATTAGTCACTCTGCGGAGCTGCCTCTGGTGGCTGGTCCAAGAGCAGAAAAAAGTTCGGAGGCACTGAAAGTTTTTTGGGATTTTTTTTTCCCCCGGCTGTTCATTAGCATGGAACAAAGTGCGTCTCTTCCAGAGATGGATGGTGAGGGCCGGGGAGGTGACCAGGCTCTTTCAACAAGGATAAGGGCTACTTCTTGTGGAGGTGGAGACACCTAGGTGCCTTGTGGGCCCATGCAAAGAGAGGGCACTGTATTCCCCACTCTCCACATCATGCTTTTTTGCTCCCACATCAGTCGTCTCCCTGTGTGGCATATGGGTTGGGGTGCCATGGAGGGGTGGCTCCTGGCGTGTGGCCCAGCATGGTGTTGACTGGCCCCTGCTGATCCTTGCAAAAGGAGCCTTCTGTATTGGCAGCTAGGGGTGCCTGTGGCTCTTGCCTTCCTTGCGCCTCTTACCTGAGGGCAGCTCTGCTAAGCTGGGGGGATGCTGCTTGTTTGCTTGAGGTCTGTGTAGCCCACAGCTCAGATCAAGGGAGTTGGGCAGGCCACCAGCAAGGCTGTCCTGCTTTCTATGCCCATTGATTGCAGGGTGACCAATGGCCAAGGACACAGACTGCAGGTAAAGCAGCTTAGCTCCTGGGCTTTGGGCTCCAGTGGTGGCACCAATGGGGTAGAAGCCCTTGTAGAGAGGCCAGGAAGGCAGCTGCTGTGGTCTTCCCTGATGCCTTACCCACAAGAGCTTCAGGCTGCTGCGTGCAGACCTCTGTGGCCCAAAGCCTGGACAGGCCCACTCGAACCCTTGTGATCCTCCCTTTCACAAAGGAACCTCCAACACAAAGCATCGGCTGGTGTCCCTGCCCCCACCCCTAGATCCAGCCTCCTGAAAACCTTATGGTATCCTGAAACTCTCAGCAGAAGCCAAGCGTGGGCCCCTGGACGTCTGCACTCCTGCCCAGGCTCCCTGCACCTGCTTGAAATCAGCAGGCAATGAAGTCATGGGAAGGAGAAAGGTGTAGATTGGTGCAAGCAGGTGGTATCCCTCCCAGGTCTGTGCCCCATTTGCACAGCTGAGTGTCTTCTCTGGATGGGGGGGTCTGTGGGGAGCGTGCAAAGCCTGGAGCCAGGCTGACCGATTGATGCCTTCTGTTGTTGGGTGTAATAAGCTGGAGTGTGGGAACTGGCTTGCTTGGCTGGGCACAGGGCTTCTGCGGTTGTAGAGGAGGTGATGTTTGAGCAGGCCACTTCACTACACGTGTGGGGCAGCTTGAGTGGGACAGGGGAGAGCAGCAGGGCCTGGGAGATGCCGTTTTTGCTCAGGGAGACGCCAACTTGCGTGGGAATTAAGCGATAGCTCAGTAGTGTTCTCTGGTGTGATTTAAGGCTGAACTCCCCCCCTGTGTGGAGGGTGCGCTCATGGCTTCTCATCGCAATCAGCACAGCTAGGAAAGGGGTAATAGGATTTATGGCACTTGGTAATTACAGCTGAAGCAAAGCCAAAGATCTTCACTGCCCAGCTCCCTGCACAGCACCGTTCATCCCATGTCCTACCTGTCTCTGTTACCAGTCCCCCAAATGCAGCTAGCTCTGGGGTGGGGCGCAGTAGCACTCTCCCCACTCAGTGAGTGGCTCTGTCACCGTAAACACGTTAGGGAAGTCCCTGTGGTTTTGTGTGCGCTTGCAAACAGCTGCTGATGCGTGATTACCTTTCTCCAGAGACTGCACGGAGGGCGAAGGGAAGGCTTTGTTGCAGTGCTGCTGAGCAGAGCCGGCCACTCAGCTCCTCGGTGGCTGTGTCCTTTTACCCTTAATTTCTCCAGGCACAGTTGCTGGCCCATTCCTATCATTTGTTCTGCAGTGCCTCGCCATGCCATTCTGGCAGGAAAAAGCCTGGCAGTGGAGGCTGTGCCTGGCGTTCGCTGCTAAGTTCTCTCTCTCTCACCTTCCCCCTCCGCATCCCACCCCTCTTCGCATCTGCAAGGAGAATTTCAACAAAGCCCAAGGTTAATATTTGCCAGCCCGGTTGGTTGCAAATGAGACAACTTCAACCAGACGTCGAATTAACATGATGGAGGCCAGTTTCCAAAAATAGCCGCCAGCCACTTTTCCCTGACAGACACGTAAATTTGTGCTGGAGCAAAGTTTCCTTTTCAATTTATTTCTCTCTGCTCCTGACAGCCGTGGCGCACGCTGGCCCCACGTTAGCATTCTGCGGGTTCGCGGCAGGCTCCCCTGCGCACCTGCCTGTCAGCGGTTCTCATTTCCAGCGGGCTGGGGTCTAATTAGCAGGCAGTTCCTTTGGCCTTCGGATGTCTTCCCCTCCGGGGGGTGACGCTACCAAAGCCAGGTTTGGGAGGGACGTGGAGCCTCTCCTGCCAAGCGCGGTGCTGGGGCAAAGAGTCAGATCTGACTGCTCAGAGAAGCAGGTCCAGGCATACCCAGGGTCAGTGCGGTGCCCAGCATTGCCTCATTATCTGGCACCTGCTATGGGGGGACATGGGCACTGTCTGTGCTCCAGACCCATGGGCTGGGAGGGGGTTGCAGGACCCACAAGGACTGTCCTGCTGCTGCCAGGTTGCAGTGCCTGGACTGGGCTCAGCTGGCCCCCTTGCTAGCTTGGCTTCCCCTTGGAGGAGCTGAACTGGGCAGCAGCCCTGGGAGGGTGGAGACCACCAGTTTCTTGGAGTCCTCTCCCTCCCACTTGCTATTCTCACCCCCGTGGTCAGCTGAGTGTGGGGCACTGACAAGCGCTCAGATTGAATGTGGCGCTCTAACAAGTGTTCTGGGTGACAGGGACTACAGTGAGATCCCCGACACAGGGACCGAGCCTCACCTGAGCAGTGACAGATGACGGGCGCCTGCTAATGACAAGCTCTTCCATGAATATGGAAATAAGCTGCACATTTCCATAACAAGGGAGCCGGTCTAATTGACTCTGCCTTCACACTCAATCCTCAGGGTGGAAATGACACCTGAGAGCTTCCTGTTGGCAGGAGGTAGCCTGGTGCTCAGGGATGCCTGCATCCCTCTGTGCATCTCGGCTTGCCCAGGAGGGAGGATGGCAGAGGCCTGTGCTTCCTCGCTGCCGCAGACCTGCTTTGCTGCCAGCAGTGACCGTGCACCAAGCTGTGTGTCACCATGAAAACACCCTCTGCTGCACCAGTGCTCCAGGTACTGCCTGCTGCTGCTGGCAGGTCCAGTATGTGCTCCAGCTCCAGAGGGGGTCTGCTGTTCACAGAAGCTCCTCTGATGCCCTCCCTTCAGAAGATGAGACTTGGCCTTGACTGAGTCAGACATCTTGCCCAGTCTCCTGTGTCACAGCTGCAGAGAGCGGA